ATATATATATATATATATATATATATATATATATATATATACACACACACACACATAACCGTGGATCCAATGAGTTTACTCCTTAAAATGAGTACATAAGACTCAATCTTAACAAGTTATTTGTTTAGATCAAAAACTTATATTAATCAATTGGAATATACATTATTTAAATAATAAACAATATTAACTATTATACTTAAATTTATTATATAATAAATAAATTAATAAACTGAGATTGACCGTCGGCCGGCTGCTAAAACACGTCAACCCACCGCAGTTCCAGCCTCCTGCTCCATGGATGTCTATATTGACACGACCACTGGCGTTCGCACCTTCACCCCTTGCCACCTCCACGACTCGCTGCGGCGGCTCCCCGTAACCTACATCCATGGAGACACCTTTTTCGTAGGATCCACCTCCACGCCGGTCTTCCACACCTTCATCTCCACCGTGGCCGAGCGGACAGGCGTTGTCGTCTCGATTGACTACCGCCTAGCGTCGGAGACCCCCCTCAGAGATTTGCTATTCAAATATAGGCATTGGGGTACATAAATGGGTTTTTAAGGGATTTCAAAACAGACGATTAGGACTGAATATCAGATCTAGCTCAGACTAGTGGCGATCCGGGGATGGAGGAGGCGATGACGCTAAGGAGGGGGGGGGGGGNGGGGGGGGGGGGTGAGCAGCAGCTGTCGGAAGAATGTTGGCCTGGTGGACTAAAAATCGGATTTGGTGCCAGGGTTTTACTTTGAAAATTAGATATAATTTAGGGATTTAGTTCCAATTTCAGAAACTTATGAGTTATTGCACTTTAATCTTTGGAGCAAATCTATAATTTATCTAAAGTTTGAATAACTGCACTTTGGCCCTTGGCTTTTTTATTATTTGACTAGTGCATATTTTGTTTATTTATGATGCATATTTAGGTAAAACAAAATGCCTATTTAGTTTTATGCATAATGCATATTTAGTTGAGAATATAAAGACAATTTCATACATAATGGATATTTCGTTGAGAACATAAAGACAATAGAAGACTCCACGATCTCGTTGTAAATTGCATATTTTGACTGTACATTTGGTCCATACCAAATGCACATTTAGTTCATACGAATTGCATATTTAGTTATAAAGAATGCATAATTAGTTGATATTATTGTTGCGCATTTAGTTCATTAAAACATATTCAGTCCATACCAAATGTATATTTAGTTTATATCAGCTGCATATTTTGAGTCAAAATTTACTTCGTACACGATGCATATATGATTCATAAAAAAATGCATATTTTGCATCCATATTAAGTTCATATAAACTGAATATTTAGCATATATATTTAATTCAAAATGGTCAATATATTATTTTTATTATATAATTAATTTGATATAGTATTTTTTATTTTTATTATATAATTGCTGTAATACATAATTCAAATTTAACTTATTCATTATGCATAATTAGGTAGTAAAAAAATATATATTTAGTTGATCATAGTACATATTTAGGTTATGTGATGTCCAGTTGTAGCTATTATTTGTGTACATCACGGATTCATATTAATCAATTGTAATTTATATTAGTTATATAATAAAAATAATTATTATACTAAATTAATTATATAAATTGCACATTTGATTTTATATTTTGACTGCAAATTAGTTCAGGCAAAATGCACATTTAATTCATACGTAGTATATACTTAGTTTATCCTTACGCATATTTAGTTCATGTGAGGTCAAATCATAGATATTTATTTGTGTAGATCAATGACTTATATTAATCAATTGAAATTTACATTAATTATATAATAAAAATAATATTTATTATAGATAAAATAATTATATAAAATATAAAATTAATTTCATTTTTTCACTGCACATTTAGTTCATAAACAATGTAAACTTATTTGATATTATTGGTGCACAAGTAGTTCATAAAAATTGTATATTCAATTCATACTAAATGCATATCTAGTTATCAACTGCATATTGCGAGTGCACGTTTTTTTCATACTAATGCATATGACGGTCAATGGTCAACACCGAAAGTTAACGGTCAACTCCAGAAGTCAACGTTAATGCTCAACGATCAAATGGTCAAATGAGTATTTGAAAATTAAAATAAGAAAATAAATGATTAAATCTTGACCACACATTTTGTTCCGTACTTAATAACTGAGATTGAGTCTAATATACTCACTTTAATAATATTTTTTAATAATTAATATTGAAAAAACCAAAAATATCAGTTGGCCCGCTGTTAATCAGACCTAATTAACTGTTAGATAACACTATTTTTTAACAAATATATTTATATACATATACATATACTTTAGCAAATAATATAAATAAAAATATAACATATCTCTAGACTATGTAATTTTTATAAACAAAAAGTATGACGCACATAAATATACCTAAGAACATCCAAACTTCAATAGTATATGATTTCGAAAAATAAGTAAACATATGGTTAATATATATCAAAAATTCTATGAAGCTTTCAGATGGTTTTTGTATGGAACCATCCAGCACTTAATGTATTGACAACTGCCCAAATTGTATTTATTGTAGACACGTGTCAATACACTATTAGTGAATAGGTGTAGATGGCTCCATAAGTGGAGTCATCCGATGACTACATAGCAAAACTTTAATATATATTACAAAACACAAATATTTGTGAGCAAACCAAAAATATATTGGAATGCATAGAGCATGACTTGTAAGTATTTAAAAGTGGTTGTCCTTTAGCCTTTTTTAAACTTGCTTTTATATTGAAAAGTCAATTGCAATAACAATGACAAAATTAGTTAGTCCTTTCAAATTAAAAGTCTCCGGACCTTTCAATAAGTAGATGTTGTGAGATTTTTGAATATTTCATTATTGATAAAAACATTAAATAAGTTTGTCGGAAAATTCCCCGGACCTTTCAATATGTAGAAGTTGTTGGATTTTCGAATATTTCAGTATAGACTATAGATAAAAACATTAAATACACTTTTCCAAAACAATGTGCAAAATTAGAAGTGTAGGTAGGAACAACGGTAAAAGTTTATTTTCATTGAATTCAGGTGATAATTGACCAGATGTGGTACCTCTCACCAATACACACAAGTGTTGTATTGGTTGATGCATTTAAATTTATCTATTTAAAGTATTTAAATTGAAAAAGAAAAATATAATTATCATATTAACATAAATGTCAAAATCATATTAATATAAATATCAATGCAATCTATTCATCTTATTTTTGTTCCTCCACTCACATTCCTCAACACAAATTTTACTATTCATTCACTAACATATTTAAAAACACCAATCATTATTTTACTATTTACATATTATATTACTGTTGTGCATAAATATCCTATATCAGCGCAGTGTACCTAAAAGCATGTAGCCCACGTTGAAATTTGGCCCATAACGACTCAGGCCCAAACTCGTGAAAAGAGCACAAGAACCCACAAATCCTGTGTCGATCTCTCCTCCTATTTCGAATGTCGAACTCGTGAAAAGAGCACAAGAATCCACAAATGTTGTTTCGATCTCTCCTCCATTTCAAATGTCGATCTGTCAGCTAGTATCATATGTCGATCTCTCTGTTGGGTGCGACCATGAACCGGTAAAACAACCGCACAACCAATTCAATAATCAAAAGACGAAATTCGAATCCCATCCTCAAAAGGCAATATTTGCATGGGCACATGTGTCACGCACCTAGCACGTTAGCTGGCATACGACCATCATTGTTTTCTCACTTTATTTATGTATAAATTCAACATTTAATGCTTCAGAAAGGGGAAAATTATATTGTAAGACTTGACATTTTGTTACTTTGTCACAATATGACCTGAATTTTTAACTTTTCATTTAAGGGTTTTAATTTAAGGTTATTCTCAATTAAAGGCTTACTTTTACATTATGGTTCTCAATTTAATACACGAACTAACTTTATATTTTTACATAAATATGTAAACTAATATTCTATTATTTTGAAATTTATATTTTAAATAATTATAAATATCTTTAGTAAAATTACTTTAGTAGGAAAATTAATTCATTTAAAATATTAACTCCAAGTCCCCAGCTGATAAAAGTGTACTCTCTCTATCTAAAAATTAAGAAAATCCCCAATTTTCTCTCCCACAAGCCCTAGTCTCTCGTCTTTCCAGAGAGCCTCCCTCCCGGCGGTCCCAGTTTGTCCGATCCCGACGAGCATCGGAATCGGTCCAGGCTTGCCGGCGCAGGCGTGGTGTCGCTCGCTTCTCCCTCCCCGTAAGTGATCCTGCTCTTGGACTTAAGCGCCATGGCGGGTGAGCTCAAGGCGGGGGGTGCCAAGCACGGTGTCCGGTGGCTGCTGCGGGCTTTCGTGGCTGCCTGCGGTGGCGGTCTGGCCTTAGTTTTCTCCTTTTTCGGCCTCGCCTGGAGTTGGGATGGTCGGGACTTCCGTTGGTGATGGCGGTTTGGGAGGCGGACCCGGAGTTAGTGTGGAGGGGCTGTGGTGGTGGATAGGCCTGGGCGAGTTTTGCGAGTCCTGGAGGCGGTCTCGGATCGGGGGTCCGGCTTGGGATCTAGATCTTGTGGCTTTTTCCAGGTTTTCGCAATTTGAAAGTTCGTTGGTCGTGATGGCGTTGGGGTTATGTCCAGTGGGGAGGGCACTGTACTGTTTATGTTTTGTTTTATTCTCTTGTTTTGTGTTGTGTTGTGTGTTGTTGGTTAGTATCTATCATTTTTTGTTCTCCCGGTTGGGAGCTTCTCCTCTTGTGGGAGTTTCTTTCTCCTGTGTGGGAGTTTACACCCTCGATCGACTCATCTAATCAATTCTGATATCAAATCTCGTTATCTTATGGATATACTAATCAACACGCGCTGCTACCCAAATTTTTCTTTAATTTTTACTTTAACCGTGAGACGCTCTACGATTAAACCTGACTTCTTATACAGTCTAGTACACGCTCTCTATATTTAATACAATAGCCGCTTTAGGATTTAGAAAAATAGACTAATCTAAGTAGTGAATCCAACAGCGTGGTTCACTTAAGTAGGTCATGTTATCCCCAGTAGTTACCAGCTTCCGGTTGCTACTTATGAATTAAACACAACAACAATTACGGATTGAAGGTCTAACTTTAGCTATAGATATGAAGAATTCTATCTAGGTGATCAATCTAAATAAAATTAAACACATCATGATTGATCATTCAAAATAACACGCACAATTTCAAAAAGATAATAAAATTATCAACCAGGAAAATCATATAAACATCGTTAAGTACGTAAGGTTCGACTTCCCCGGAACTAGAAATAAAAATCTACTCTAACATAATAATAATAAAAAAAAAGAATAAAATTATCCTTCTTGTGTACGGATGCGGCCTTCCTCCACGTCCGACGGATTCCTCCCGTCTCTCTGTTGCTGCGTTTTTCTTTTCTTCTCCCCGCTGGAGTGCTTTTTGTGGCAGCTGCTTGTTATTTTCTCCAATTAAATTCTACTTGGATGCGTGAATGTCCCAAATATATCCCCTAAATATGGCACGAGTGGTTGCCATT